TGGCACAACGAATTCCTATCATAGCAACAACATATAAAAATACAGAAGACACACATATGGACTTGGGCGAACTACCGGTAGGGGACCGGGTGTTTTCCGGCGCCACGAACGTGCCAGATTTATTTATAGTACCATCTAGTGAAATTCAACCCCGTAGTAGTATTGGAATACAAAAACGACCGTCATATCTCATTATGAGCGACAGCCACCTTAAACATCTACCAGAACGTCTTCGACAGCCGAACTATGACGTTGATATTAAATTGGTGCGAGGTGCTGAATGGATTAGTCAATACGATCCAGAATTATCCATACAATCAATCATTAGTTTACCTGATATTATTGAAGCAGTTTCTTCGTCGGTGGGAGTTGGATTTGTAATAGGAACGAACACCTTACGTCACATACCATCCCATGAAGCCATTGAACAAGTTAAGTATATTATAACAGTACTTCATATCATCCACAATTATTATCATCGCAAATGTTCATAACCCACTGCTTCCCTTGTCTTCGCGTATCTAGAAGATTTGATGAAATACAGCTAGCGGAAAACATATATCGATATAATAATGAACTAAACAACCTGGCTGATGAATTAAAATTTAAAACTATTAATTGTGGAATTATGATAAATAACTTAGCATTTGATAAAATGCATGTTAGGGAGGCGTCAAAACATCTTATCATTGATTCAATTTTGACCATCTTTCATCAACATTACCTTTCATCATTACAACCTATCCATAATCATTCTCATTCCCCATCGCTATTATCAATCCCATCGTGTTTGTCGACATCCTCACATCTACCCAATCAATTACCAGCTCTCGTACCACATGAAAATAAAACACATCGACAATCCATCCACTGTAGAAAGATGAAGAATATTGAAAGTTCGCGAAAATACTATTAGAAAGATTTCCATATATATATAGAACGACCAATTTATTTTAAATTTAAAGTCAAAACCTTGAGAAGAGTGATAAAAAACATCAATTTACGACCAAGGAAAGTAAAAAAGAGATTAATTAATGGTGAATGGACAGTACGTATTGGCTTATATTCCCAACAGCAACGGCAAATATATGAAGATCGCATTAGCAGTAACTTGTTTACCAAAGGACATTATATACAGTTATTTGGAAAAGATTAACTGAAAACAGTTAAGACTTAATCGGCTCTTAATTCCTTCCTATCCTTGCTATATGTAATTATTTCGCATTGTAAAACTCCCAGGAGTCGAGGGTGTTATGCCTAGTAACTAACTAGACACAGAGCACTAGTTCTTTCTTTTCTTTCACGTGGAGTCCTTGTTACCATATAGAAAAGAAATATATTTTTGTCTGATCCACAGATAGTTCATAGTTCAAGAGTCGGACTGTGCAGTAGTTTCTTTTCTTTATTTAAATTTTCTTTGCACACACATATTATATATATATCCTTACTATCTACATAGTCAGTCAGTTTCTTTATTCAAATATTCTTCGCACATAACATATATATATATATATATACATCTTCAGTACATATACAGTCAGTTAGTTTTAGAAGAGAAAAGTGTGAAGAGCGTTGTTACATATTCTATTGTATTTTCTATCTCATTTTTCGTATTGTTATCATTTTGTTATAAAAAAAATATATTCTATTTAAACTGTTATCATCGATTTAGTGATTAAGGTAAGATTGAATACTAGGCAATTGAACCTGGGATAATCTCTCATTCTAAAGGAAAGTAGAACGAGAGGGTGTCTCGATCACCACACCAGTCACGACTGAAGATCGTTCAAACTCACAGAATTTCACCCGAAACCGAGACCCAAGACCGAGACCCGAGCGGAGACCCCCAAGTTAAGCAGGAAAGGATACCCCCGGTGTTTAAAATATGATTAATCAACACGATAATAATAGATATTTATAGAGTTTTAGAAGGCGCACATTTCTCTATATTTTTTTCTTGCATCTGTACGGATTCGGGGATCGAGACCCGAGACTCAGACTCAGAGCGGAAGTTGAAAAATGCTCTAAAATTTTTTCCTTTTAGCAGACCCCTGGCAAAGCTTTACCAAAACATTATTTTCTTAAAAACATTTGAGTGGCACATGATTCGATTCAGTTTTGTATGCTGATTCCAAATATACCTTCATCTTTCATGAAAGAGGTATAGGAAGTGATAAAAACACAAAATAAGCGGATTAACTCTGTACTGAAGACCTATTTTTCTCAAATAATTACGCTCCCGTGCTCGCTGTCCATCTTAAGTTTTTTATACCGTACACGGTAGAGAATTGTATTCTGCACAAAATGAGACTAAAATAAAGTTTAAGTCTTTGATCGCTTTTTCCACAAAACGGTTTTACTCACGTAGTATCAAAATTACTCTACCTAAAAATGTACCTAAATTTTTATATTAAAAAAATTGTAGTTCTTAGAGGACAATTTATTTTTTTCTTTTAAATGTCACAGTTTGTAGCTCAGAATTTAAGAATGTTTTTTTCCTTGTAGCGCAGAATTTATTATTTATTTATTTATTTATTTTATGAATTTCTTTTATCTTTCGACCATTGTTTTTGCTCCCCTACGTTCCGCAACATACCGATGACAGGTGTAGATGCACAATAATCTCGCCTATCTAATGGCGAGAAGCATTTTTCAAAATAGTAGAAGGTATTGAAAAAATAATTTTTTATTGCACAGGTATCGCATAGGTACCAATCGATCAAACCTTTTAGTGTTCCCAGAATCTGTACAGATGCAAGAAAAAAATATAGAGAAATGTGCGCCTTCTAAAACTCTATAAATATCTATTATTATCGTGTTGATTAATCATAAAACCGGGGGTATCCTTTCCTGCTTAATTTCGGGTCTTGGTCTCGGTTCTCGGTCTCGATCTCGCGTCTGAGCTCGGGTCTCGATCTCGAGTCTGAGTCTCGGGTCCCGGTCTCGAGTCTCGGTTTCGGGTCTCGGGTCTTGGTCTCGGGTGAAATTCTATGAGTTTGAACGATCTTCAGTCGTGACTAATGTGGTGATCGAGACCGGCACTACGGGTGTTTTCTTTTCAACCAACGGATAACTAGGACTGCAGTTTCCACCTGATGTTTGTTTGAAAATATGAACAACTTATGTGGCCAGTCGTTTTTATTATAGGTATCGATCACATATTCTTTACGATGGATCTTCATCATCATCGAATTTCGCAAAAACTATGACAAAAACTACTTTATGTTTTCGTCTTTTCTCAAAAAAATAATCTGTAATCTTTGAAACTGTGTAATCTTGGAATGTATCTAATGTTTTAATCTGTTTTATCAAAATACAACTTCTGGAATAATATCGAACTATTTTTATCAGAATAATTCATAAAATCTTCACAAATTGATTTAGTAATGATTTCTGAATCCCCCAGTCAACTCTCACTCACAAAATCATCGATGAGTTTCCCGGAAAATACAAAATCTTAAAGATTCATCAGGGAATCAACAAATCAATCGTCTGGAAATCCTTAAACCGTGCCAACTTCCTCAGAACTCTTAAGTGACTGACTGAGAAATGTTTAAAGTTTCTGATATTAGGGGAGCGTGGATAAAAACGAGAACTTACCAGAAAGCTTCTGGGAACTTCCTTACGGATTCATGAAGAAGTGCACAACTTGACAGTAACTTCGACGGTAAGTGTTATTTCCAGAAAAAACTTTTTATTCCTTTTGTTTTATATTAACTTCGATAAGAGCTGCAATAGTAAGAATTATTTTCATGTCCAAAAATGAAATGTATTTCTTTTATTTAGATGAATAATAACAACTTTTCTTGAGAGCGCAGTCTTTTGTACTGAATATTTGCTTAGGATTTCATGATTTTCATGGGAAGTTAAATCATCAGAATTTCTGGATCAAATCAGCAATACTTGTTCATATGAAAAATAGTTAGAAATACAGCAACACTTTAGGGAATCGTACAAAATCAAAAAAAAAATAGAACCAAACAGGAAAATAACAGTTAATAAATGATTCGTTAAATTAATTCTGCACTGTTTTCGTCTTGGATGCTAATAGTGAAATTATCATAAAACTTCATAGGTTTTGGGGTATCATTGTCCATAAATTCTATTGGTATCCAAGCTTGAAAATCATGACCTTTGACTCCATCTTTACTCGAGCGAAATCTTTCTCCATAGTACGTGTATAAAGTTTCTTCTGATGATATTGGTAAAGTGGCTACATTGAATTGTTGAGCGGGAATTGTGAAATTTGTCCCATATGGATCATTAATTGAGCATGGATTGATATTCATGCCGTCAACATGATCTGATGGAGCTTTTCCATCAGCACAATAATCTAGCTGACTGAGATAGGTCCAATTGCCGAGAAGATCAGTACTAGTAAATGTTCGCGCGTCTGCGCCCCATTGACAAAAACAACAATCGGTGGATAACATTGTATAATAAATTCCTTTTCTTTTGAAGACCCCACCCCCTTCGTACCATGGATAATCTTGTTTCTCGAAAATAATAGAGAACTGCCCCGTACTTGTCATCCAATCTGGTGAAAGTTTTTCTATCACATGTCTCAAAGGTGTATCACGTGTATTATATCGAACATAAGCTGTATTATCATCGTCAACAAATAGGCCAGTAGTGCTGCTGATTACTCTCCCTCCTTGCATCACTAAGGGCGGAACATTCACGAAAGGTCCAAAGGGTGTTGAAGCAACAGCAAGAGCAACAGTGGAATTTTGAAATCCATATCTGCTTGACCAATAGACCATAACATATCGTTCAGTACGACTATTATAACCAACATTTGGCATCCAATAATTGATGTAATTGTTATCCTTGGTGACTTCAGGTACAATATTATTACTAATTAATGTCCAGTTGACCAGATCCAATGAAGTATATAAAGCAAACGTATTGTTTATATAACCACATACACCATCACAAATCGTCGTAGATTGATGACATTTACCGTAAACGGTACCATACATGAAATAGGTATTATTAAATTTAACCAGACAACCATCATGCGCATCTACATACGATCGATTTGTATCCAATCGAGGAAGAACATTCGAAATAACTACTTGCTTGCTTGAAACAAGCAGAAAACTTGATATGAGAAGAGCACAGGAGAAACTCATTGGCCAGAGAACAACGTTTTCAAATTATTGACAGAGTGATGCCCAAAAAGGCCTATTTTTATTGATAAAATAGAGTATGGTCTAAAAGAGGATGTCGTACCTGTAAAACTCTACTGTTTTATCTTACTCTTAGATAGCAAGTTGCTCTTATTGTTGCTCCTCCTTTGTATAACGCAAATATGACGTCGTATGCTTTAAAACAAAGAAAGTGATGATTCGTTGAGGGTGCGTGTAAATGGGAACGTAATGAAGATCTGCCCCATATCTACCATCGAAAAAGCTTATTTTCTTAGCATAAATATTAAATAACTGAGAACCGAGACGTCCCTTCAACCAAGAAAGCGGTTACTTTTAATAACGACTAAAAAATTTCTCTTTACTGGTGCTTATCTTATGAGAGTATAAATTTGCCACTCTAGCAGCACCTATTCATGCTGTAACTAATTTAACGAAATCGCATAGAAGAAATTTTAAATGGAAAGCGGCACAAACAAAAGCATTCAATGATTTAAAACAATTATTAATATCCCAACCCTTATTTCTCAATTTCCCAGTTGAAAACAAACCTATGATATTAACAACTGATGCCAGCGGAATAGGAATTGGAGGAGTACTTCAACAGGAGATCAATGGGCAACGCCAAAATCTTTACTATCATTCTCAATTAATGACTCCTTGCGAAAGACGTTACAGTACAATTGAGAAAGAGGCATTGGCCATTTATAAATGTATAACAAGAATGAGACCTTTTCTGCTAGGTCGAAGTATTATAATAATGACAGATCATTGCCCTCTTTGTAATTTAATGAAAAAGAACGTCAGAAATTTAAGAGTTGATCGAATAGCAACCCTGATCCAAGAATATAATATTGAACAAGTGATACATATAAAAGGTAGAGAAAATTGTCTACCAGATTACTTATCCAGATACCCAAGACAGTTCGATGATGAATTATTCGACATTGATTATGGAATTGGAAGTAAGGACATCCCACATCCGACGACTTCTTCGTCTGTAGGGGATCCTCGGTCCTCCTCCTCTTCCTTACCCACCAACAACACCAATATCGTTGCTGCAATGAGGCTAAGACCTCGAAACATCATACAAGACAACATAAAAGCAATAACTTCTACTGATAATACACAGGATGATACTGTCTCTGAGTCTGAAAACAATTCCAAACCTATTATACGTATCCCACGTAATTTTTCTTCAAATTATTTCGACGTCATGATGCTCCGAGAGCAACAAGATAAAGATCCCGACATTCAAAAAATAATACAAGAACTTCATAAAAATCCTAAATCGTCTCCCTTCGTTCTTAGAGATAATATTCTATATAAACTTGTGATACCTTCACGTACTTCTAAAACTAAAATCCATGTTATTTATTTACCGAACTTAATGATAAAACCACTATTATATGCTACTCATAACGATCCAATGACAGGAGGACATTTCTCAACAGATAGAATATACAATAAAATCAAACACAAATATTGGTGGCCAAACATGAAAAATAATATCAAAATGCACATAAAATCTTGTTCATTATGTCAGCAATATAACGTTAGTCGTCATAAAAAGCATGGCCAACTTAAACCCATCCCACCACCTGATGGTCCATTTATGCTCGTCGGAATCGATTTTTGCGGTCCCTTTAAAAGGACTCCTCGTGAAAATCTGTACGTGCTCGTCATAACAGACTACTTCACCCGTCACATCACCGCACTTGCTCTACCCGATTGTACAGCAGAAACTACCGCTCATGCACTCTTTAATAATTACTTCTGCAAATACGGAATACCGGCAGTTATTATCAGCGACCAAGGTCCTCATTTTCAAAATATCTTAATGCACAATATTCAAAAATTAATTGGATATAATCATATCTATAGTACACCTTACCATCCTCAAACCAACGGTATTGTCGAACGTTTTAACAGTACCTTCGTTCCTCAAATCTCAAAACTGCAAGATACACAAGATAATAATTGGGACGAATATCTTCAGGCGGTTGTCTTTGCTTACAATTCAGGAGTTCATAAAACCACTAAATTCTCTCCATATGAACTCCTATATGGACGACCTCCTCGTCTTCCAATTGATTCACGACCACACCATTTTACATTTCATAAACCCAATGACTATTTTGAACAATTGAAGAAAACTCTAAATATATATCATAAAGCAGCTAAAGAGAATATAATTCAACAACAACAACTCAATAAACAGAGATACGATATTCATAGACAAGATCCGCATTATAAATTAGGTGATAGAGTATGGATGAGAATATTTGGCATGAGAGGCAAACTCGATCCCAAATTTTCATTAAAACCAAAAATTATTATATATTGTAATCATCCGACTTATATTGTATTAGATGAAGACACAAATATTGAATCACGGGTACATGTTGGAGATCTTAAACCTGTGAACTTATCAACAATTCAATCAAACTAATAAGTGATCCTTGTCAATATCATTGTCACTAACCCTAAATTATTAATTATCATCACTAAGTCAAATTGCTAAGTATCATTCATTCGCATTATGTTTCATATTCTCTCCATTTTCGGCTAAGTTTTCCGTCAAGGACATAATACTAATTACCATTGATTCCTCTGGGCCATGTGATTTAAAGCCCGACGATTCGACGGTCTTACATTTTTATTATGGAACTGATCTGATACTTTCTGATCAACTGTATTAGATTAGTTGATCCGGCAACTGATCATGACAGAATGCTAGAACCTTAGTTTAATCATCCGTTTATTTCTTTTATTTCTTTAGTAGTTTTCATATAACGATGCATCAAGATAATAATCCTAATCCCAACGAACAACAG